AATTCACCCCACCTTAGCTGCCAAACCGCCATCTAACTCACAAACAGAGCAAAACCCTCGACCCCATCACCCTCTTCCACTCCCCCTCCATCCAAGCATCGACTAGAACCCTCAACATCCTGAAACAAGCTTCCGCAACCGCTGGCGAAACCGCCACAGAAGACCAGGCTAGCGACCACACCAACCACTCAAAGCAACAGCGCGGCGAGTTCGAGCTGGAGGTTACCACCTCGCCCCCGACAACAGACCAGCTTCGCAGCATCCTCGACTACATCTCGCCCGTCAGCGGTGTTGGCAATCCGGGCGAGAAGGTGACGTATGGTGTTGCGGAGCTGGTGAAGGGCGCCCGCGATGCGGAGGACGCGTTGAAGAAGTTCAAGGAGGATAATGAGAATTTCGTGAGGCCTATTGTATGTTCGACCTTTTCCTTACTCCCATTGTCATGTTGGAGACCTTTCTGGATATGTTGTGCTAATGCTATACCCTACAGACCGTTGACTGGGTCAATGGCCGCGCTGTCATTGGAGACGACAAGTCCGAGATCCTACGCATGGTGCGCCAGCTTCCTGTAAACTAAAAGAGTCGATACTTTGCTCCGTACTGCGGTAAGATATATGCGCTACATATAGTCTACTCGGCACAGGATCGCGATCGAGATCAATCTCATATTCCATATTCCATACAATGAAACCATTACTAGCAGAAGACAGGAACTGCGCCATTTTCGATCTATGGCTGTATCATACAAGAATCGAAATCCACAACTCCACGCGCACCATAAAACTAGAACGAGTCGAGAAGAAGTGTCACGTTGCAAGCTGCAAGTCGAAAATGAGGCTGAAGTTAAAACAAAAAGAAGAGAAAATATGAGCAATTAAACTCAATACTGGGACATCTGGCACTAGGAAACCAAGATCCAGCTCGGAGTCCCGCACGCGCCAGTGGAACGCAAGAAGAGAAAAGGGTTGACCGAATATGAATGTGAAATCTGCATTTTCGTCAGGAACCTAGAACATTGTGCCGAATGTGCCATCCGTCGCGATAGGCTTCCGTGGCGAGCTGCTGCGGCCGTTGCTGTCGACGGCGGGTTTGCGATGACTATAGTGGTCAGTAAGAGAAGGACATGGATTTGAGCATAACATACCGGAAAGTAAACCCGACAAACAAGCCCTTGCTCATCTTATCATCGCGATCGGCCATATCCTCCAGCGCCCGCTGCTTATCATGGACCTCCTTGTACTTGGCCATATCTGCCTCATTGCTGAAATCATCAAAGTACCCAGCATCAGTCTCCGAATCAAGTTCGGGCACGAATGGAGCCCGTTGCTCACGCAGACCCTCGAAGTCGACCTCGGCGAAATAGTCATGCGCATGAATCTCCTTGATATTCTTGAAGCGCTGCTCCTTCCCAGCAACCAGCTTCGTGATGAGATCCCACGTCCGCCGTGACAGGAAGTAGTTCGGGTCCTCGTAGACGGGCTTCCGCAATACCTTCTGCCAGCGCTTTAGGTTCTGCCATGTCTCCTCGACTGTCGCGCCTGCGAAAGGCGGGTAGCCTGCCAATGCCTCAAACAGCATACATCCCAAGCTCCAGTAGTCCACAGTGAAATCGTATTGATCGCCCTTGAGAACTTCCGGCGCCATGTAATCCGGCGATCCGACAATCGACTTGGCGTAGTTGACTTCCCGCTGACGCAGAGACTGGTATCCTTGTCGTCGTTCGGCCATTGTACGTTGTTCCATGGGTCGACCGAAGGGAACGGGGGTGTTCCCGACTTCCTCAAGCTTCACACGCATTGACTCGATTTTGCCCGGGCTCAGCATACCAGCTGCCAGACCGAAATCGGTCAACTTGACATGGCCGGTGGAGTCGATCAGGAAATTTTCGGGTTTCAAATCACGGTGAATGTATCCTAGCACATGGAGCGCATCAATGCAGCTGAACATTTCGGCAATGTAGAAACGGGCGTGTCGATTATGGAGAACGCCAGTGTTATTCAGCAGCGTGCGGAAGTCTCCACCAGGAACATACTCCATGGCCAAGTAGATCTGCGTATCATCCTGGAAGGCATAGAGTAGCTTGACTAGCCACTCGCTCTTGGCCGCAGTGAGAATATCGCGCTCGGTCAGGATGTGACGAATCTCATCCAGTTTGAAAAGCAGCTTTTTGCTCATGACTTTCAAAGCGCACACTTCACGCGTATCCTTCTTTTGTGCCAGATACACCTGTCCATATCCACCCTGGCCAACCTGAGTCAGAATCTGGAAGTCGCCCTGGCGGAGACGTGTGCGACGCTTCCGCAGATGTGCGCGCTCACGGCCGAGGTATTTTAGGAGGGCGGGTTCGTACTCTTCGTCAGGGGTAGCAGGGGGTTCGGGGTAAGCGGCTTTGAATTGTGTGTGGCGGGTTTGGCGATTGTGGACGTAGCTAAGGAGATCGAAGTAATGGTCAAGGAAGTCTGTCATGCACGAATCAGTCAATCTGTCTTGAAATTATCAGGTCGGGCCGCACTTACAGAGTTGGGTCACATTGACGAGGCGCTTCACTTTGGGCTGTGCTAGCTTCTCCATTTCCTCGGGGGTCAGGCCGCGCATCTGCACCTGGCGTCTGGTCGTATCATCGCGTGGTTGGTACGGTTCCTGGCGCGAAAGAGCTGCAGCAGTTGGGGTCGATCCCAGGTCCTTTAGACGTGTTGGGTTGGGGGGTGTGTTCTCCTTGTTGGCTCTACGCGTTGGGCTTGAAGGGGTTTGGTGGATAACGCTCTCGCTGAAGTCCTCGCCACTCTTGCCAGCAGAGAACATTGGATGATTGTAGTGGTTGTATGTCGATTTGGAGGGGGTAGTGGGATTCAACTTCATCGCCTTGTCGAAGACATTGGGTAGATCGAGTGCGCCCGGAGGCAATCTTGACTTGCTGGGGCTACCCTGGGGGGTCTGTGGTGGACTGGTAAAGCCATCGGCAGGAGTAGCGGGGCGATCGAATTGCCCACGAGTATGCAACAAGGGTGGTGGATTAGGGAGTCGGAGACCAAGATGGTCGTCTGGAATAATAGCCATGGTGTTGATGTAGAAGCGATAGAGGGGTTGGTGGTGACCCCTGTGATAAGGCCGGAACTAATGGGCACTAACACGCCAGAACAAAGGCAAAGTCACGAAGATGGTTAGGGGAAGAGAAAAGGAAAGGAGGAAAATGCCTTTGTCCCTCGGAAATATTGGAAGGTTTATGTTTGTTATTTCCAAGTCGATCCCTCTCCACCAAGATCTCAGAAGATCTTGATTCTCAATTCTACAATCGACTCTATCCCCCCCTTCCTCACGGAGTTGCTGTAGCAACTCCCCCCACGTCATGCACACTGATGAAAAACCCGCCTAACCCCCCCTAAACCCCAGCTGAGTGGATGAGTTTATCGAAGCGAGCTGAAAATCATCTCCACTTCCAATCGCTACTTGTGCTTTGACGGCTCCTCTCAAGTGAGATTGACTCTATGGGGACCCAACATGAAACCGCCACTGAAGTGGACACTTTGGTTTTTGACTTTTGCATAATCCAGACTAGCGAATGTCGCACATCCCCGTGTTCGGGGGAATAAGCAATAATTGTCCGGTCGATACATATGTATATGTACATGTAGGTAGTCTATGGTAGACCTTAGTCGGGTGCAGCCACCGGAATCATGAAGCTATTGCAAGGGATATATAAGCAAACTACCGGATTGGGAAATAACTAGCCCAACACAGCCGAGTGTTCCATGGATTGGAGGCACGGGGACCCCGATAATTGGCAATGCCAACCACGGAACCGGAAACCTCTAAAATGAGAAAATAAAAAATAAAAAAGTTAAAAATTCTTATTAATCTTATTAATCCTTCCAAGGTTAGTTATATCCTCAAGCAGCACCCTGCTTCCTTTGGCCAGTCTGGTTTTCGTTAGTTTAGCCTTGGAATATGATTCGGATTTCAGCTGGGTACCCACATAGAACGCCAGTCCATAGTCATCCGTTGTGAACGTGATTGTCGCGCCCTTGGGGAAATAAAACACATCGCCCGGAGTCGCCGTAACCTTCTGGCCCGTCTCGTCGGCAATCCCAAATTTGCCCTCGACGATAATCTTCATTTCGTCGTAGGTGTAGGTGTAGACGAGGGGGGTACCCTTTTCTAGTCGGTAAAAGCCGCATGACATGGGCTTGTCTGGGTTTTCCTTCTCGCTGTAGTATGTCAACAAAATTGCCTTAAAACACTATCTATACAGGTATCGCCATACCTTGACTGCACATCACCCAAGAAGGCGTTGTCATTGGCAATAAGTGGCGGCTTGAAGGTGGATTGCGCCTTAGCGTGGTAGGTAAATGGAACTGCCATGATTGGAGGAATCAGTCTGACTATGAGGAAACTAGTATAGAAATAAATCGATATTCCAATCCATTCTCGAGGATTACCTCTGTTTTATACTGGTGTTGCCGGGCTCGGCCATGCACGAAATGAGGGGATGTCATCTAGAAAGAAAACTCCCCCAAACTTAGGGCAACTCAATCCAGACGAAAAGCGATGGTCGGATCTGATATCCTGACTAGGCAGCCCAACGGAGAATGGGTTGGGAAAATCACGGGGAGGTTGAGGGGCTTGCTAGTGATGAGGGGAAGTACAAGCTTGAGATAAAGATCTGAGAATGGTAGGGGAGGCTGTTATCAATGAAGAGAAAATTCCCGAGTTTCGACGGTATTGCTGATCTCATCGCCTACTACTAGTTAGTTAGCACTATGCCCAGGTGAGCCTACTTCGAGTGATAAGATTGTGTAGTTGAGTAGGGATTCTTTTACTTGATGCGGTTAGCCCTTCCCATCAGTGTCTTTTAATGCTTGGCACAAAAGGAATACAGACACACCTAAGATAGTCGAACTTGAGAAACGAAATATTGGTCGACTATGCAGGGGACAGGTGTACTATAACAATTTCAAGCAATTGTACATAACAATTCTCCACACACTGCTTTCCAATATCGACTATTTGACACTATGTTCAACATTTTTCAACAAGCGGCTCTGTGGTGGTCTCTCCCAGCGAAAACAATACTGTCCCAGCTCCATGGCGGTTCTTCTATATCGAGGGCCCGTTACCCAATTTGGCTTTCCATCAATTGTGCCCGACACAAAGGGTACACTATACTCCGGAATTTTCGGGAGGTCCGGCAACGTAAATCGGTGTGGTGCATTCAGATATCGTTTCATATCGCCGTCCACATCGGATCTTCGTGTTGCAACCCACTCGTTAAGAAAGTCGCGGAATTTGGATACCTCAGAGTCCAGCTCACGATGACTAGTCCACTCTGAGATACTTTGTACCATGTCCATATTTCGTTCCCAGTGGGGGATCTCCGCGAAGGACGTATCATTCGTGATAAGCTCGTAGAGTGTGAGGCCAACGCTACTAACGTCATCACGACCGTCTTGTAGGTTTTTCTCTCCGCATGCAGCCCAATCGAAATCGAAAAGAAGGATCTTATGTGTATAAGGGTCGACAAGTAGATTCCGGGGTGCAATATCTTGATGCATGATTCCATATTCAAGGTTGAGGAAATCCACCAGTTGAGTAAGCTGTTGTAGCCACTCAAATCGAAAAGGGATCTTTGGATTGGCGAGAGTTCCACCTGGGATGTACTTTGTTGTAAAACCAATCACCCGAGACTCATCGAGGACAACGCGATCAAATGGTACCATATTAGGATGTGATGGTAGACTTTTAAGAATATTAAGTTCATCCCAGGCCATTTGTAGTCTTAACGCCTTATATAAGACATTAAACTTGAAAGCAACCTTTTCAGGAATCCCTGACTCATCTTCGTACGATACCAGATCAACAAATGGCCCAAGCCGATCGAGCTCTCGGAGTTTAGAGTACTGAATCGTACGGCAATCGGTAAGCGATCCACAGAGCGAGAGGGGAGGATATGCAAGGAACATGGTTTCGTCCTCTTCTGGATCCGTCGAAACCTCAGTAAGGAGCCCATCATCGTCGACTGTGATTGTGCGAACTTCCGGCGATAGATAATCTGCTAATGGTGCCAAAATTGAGGGCTCGATATTCCCATCGGGCGGAAACAGCTTGGCGGTGCCTTTGACCTTGATCATCCGTAGTTGGTCCCAATCCCAGACATTGCAATAAGTTTTGGTGGCAGGGTCTTCGACCAGGCCGCAGTAGGCTTGGCCGTCGGACCAAAATCTGTCTTGAGGGTTGATCATGTCAAATTGACGGACACGAGTGATCTGTGCAATGCTGCTTCGGGCGATTAATTTCGAGGGTAGCTACTTAGGTAAATTGGTAGACACAGGATCAAACCATGGAGGTGATGAGGACGCGGCAAAACGAGAACGATACCCCTGTACTTCATGCATCCCCCGCTTTGACGCATCTTCGAGGAATCAGCTCTCTAATGACAATTATTCACCGCTAGTTTCCGTATTCGCTTTTAAGTCTTATGCATATTTAGACAGACGAAGCGCTTAAATATCAACACGTATTGGTTAATGGCTGGTGAGTGGGTCTAGACACTCATAGTCAACCTCATTGCCATTTCACTAAGATCATATATGTAAACCGTAAGTTGACGAAATCCGATTGCCGCATAACTCAAGTAATTGAGCTGTCCAAGTCGAGGTCTAGGGGTACGAATTTGACGAATCTCGGTGAAGGTCAAGCGGAGACGGCCCATATCACGATGCCGACGATCCTACAGAGTATCACTACTTGGTTTCTCGACACAATTCCCATCCCACTTCGCCAACAGCCCAACATCCCTTCATCATTTCTCAATCCCAAACCAATATGCCATTGACAATCCACCACCTTGGCCGCTCGCAATCAGAGCGCATCGTCTGGCTTGCCGAAGAACTTGGCATCGATTATGACTTCGTCTTCCACAAGCGCGATCCTATATTCTCCCCGCAATCAATCAAAGACCTGCATCCTGCCGGCACTGCACCGGTGATCGAAGATGACAGCTCCCCCTTCACAAAAAACAAGGTCGTGCTCGCTGAATCTGGCGCTATCATTGATTACATTATCGCCGCCTACGGAGAGGGCCGTCTCGCGCGCACACCGAAAGACGGCGACGAATACATCCATTTTCTGGAGTGGTACCACTGGGCGAATGCCTCCCTACAGCCAACCTTATTCCGTGTCCTGATAACCCGGCGCTTGACCAGCGACCCGGAATCAGTGCACGTCAAGATGGGCAGTGCGAAACTAGAGCGTGCGCTCTCAATGGTTGAGGCGAGACTCGGCGAAACCGGATCCTACCTCGTTGGGAATGACGTCACCGCCGCGGATATCATGGCAATCTGTACTCTCACTACCATGAGAGGATTCTGTCCTATTGAGTTTGATGAGGAAAAGCATAAGAACATTCTAGCTTATCTCAAGCGTGTTGGTGACCGGCCTGCTTATCAAAAGGCCATGAAGATTTGTGAGGGTGAAGATTTCGTACCTATTCTTGGCGCAAAAGCTGAGCAGTTTGCATTCCCTTATTGAGGGGATCCGGATTTCACGCACCTATTGTAAATTATATGAATGTGAAATTCTAAAACTCTCAACTTACAAATCAGCAATTGGTGAGTGGTGTCTCCTGGGGAATAATCGCCTCTAGGCCTAGGGGCACTCGTCAACAACCAAATGCATCTGGATATTGATCGTCGTTCCTTTCAATTTGATTTAAGGAACTCTAAATATGTCACGATGTAATGAGCAAATCCTGATAGATTGTGACCCCCAGAACTTCATAATTTGATCGGGACCAGGACGTACTGTATCAGGGAATTCATTATCGAACCCACCCAAGAATCTGGCTAAGGACATAGTTCCTCTGCGCGTAAGGGAAGCCAGAGACTTAGGTATCGTGTAGATTGTTGTAAGAATCAGAGAATAGGCTCTCTGAAAACATAGCTTCCTGGCATTTACATTTTCGCAGTTGGGACAATATCAGACCAGGCATTGCTGGGTAGCGCCTACGAAGGCAAGTGTGGGTTACTGCTTTCGTCGGATGATCAGTGATTGGTAGGTAGGTATTCCGGTATAGGGCGGTAATGATGGCCAAGCGAGCTGATGTATCGGGTGCATATGGCAAGGAAGATGATGAGCCTGACTCTGATAGGGCTGATCATGGTTTCCGTATTACTGAAAATTCGATAGAGAATCAGCATTGGGGAATTATATCAATAGGCCAAAAACTGGGTAGTCGCTTAGGGGCTTCCGGAATGGGTATCGCGTATTGAAAAGCTGAATGAAAGCGTGGAAGTCAAATAAACCACCATCATGTTGGACATATTAGTTCCTAGATCAACCATAATTCGTTGTCAGAGAGACGATCACAGTTGCAGAAAACAAGTCTCAATCGAAAAAAACATCGTTGTCGTAACTCATCAACAAGAGAACAACAGACTCCCTAGACGCCGCGCTGGTTCAAGGCAACACCAAGTCAGGTACAATTTCAACCTTAGGACAAATAAGGTAGAGACACAGGAATGAGGACATGATAACAAAAATCAGGAAAACAAGAACTCAGACTTGCTTGCTTTGTTAGCCGTCATATTAGTGCAGCAGGCTAGAATGCAAAGAACAGTATATTCTTTTCGCATGGCACCCAACTTCAACCAAGGTTTGGGCCATTCATTGCTGGTAGGCTAGCCAAGGAAAACTATGAGTTGCAGAGTTAGCTTTTGGAGGAAATAGTTTGAAAGTTGTCAAACCCACCTTCCCATCCCCATTCAGCCATAACATTCACCCAATGCAATCTGCCACGCACAGTTCTTTCAAATTCAATGTTTTCAAGCGGGGCGAGTGCGGAACCCCGTCGCGCAGACCTCGATGTAGGTTGTCCTGGCCTTCCAGTTGGCCCCTTGTGGGAACCATTGAGACTGTATTTGCGGAAATCGGTTGGCAATGACGAGCTCATTTTCTCCCTATCTCCAGATGAGAAAGACTCGCCACGTCGCGAACTGGCCATTTCACGCGCTCTTCTGGCATTCATTGCGTCGCGACGTTCCCAGACTTCCTTCAACACCTCCAAACAGCGATCAACACCACCTAGCATTAATCGAGACTGAATTGTGGTCCATCGATCCAAGACCCATTTTCGGTCATCTTCAGTGTCAACCTCAGACCCAGCCGCTAGGAGAGGGAACATTTGTATGATAGTAGTCCTGGAAGTGTAGGGAACAGTGGCAAGCAAGATCAGGACCCTCTTTGCTAATTCATCGGCCGGCTCGGAGGGTATCTCTGGAACGGCCTGATGCAGGTATAGCAATGTCGCCCAGCGATAGGCATGTGCAACTTGAATACTATGCTGAACCTCGGAGTTGGGGTCATCTGGTGGCTCAAACCATTGCGGTGGCTCCCATTGCTCGACGAGAGCTTTGAGTTCCATAGCTTGGGCCACAACCGACACCGTGTTCGACGTGCTCTTCCGCACATGCTGGATCAGCTTCGCAACCCGGCTTATAAGAGGGTATAGAGTCGTTGCACAACCCATCAACGGATCAATATCATGGACTGTGTCACTTGGAAGCTCGAAAACCGAAGAATCCCAGTTTTGAGGACCACACTCATCCAAAGAAGTCAGTCGTGCGATCACATCCATATAGGACCATGTGTTGTAGAGGAACCGGATACGATCCAACTCCTCGTCACTAACACCTCGTTGCATCCCGGCCGCGATTACCTGACACATCAATGTTTTTGCGCCTCGCAAATGTTGAATGCATGTGCGGGTGTTTTGGTCCCAGGTATCGGCAAATGCCAAAGCCAAACTAGTCGCCAGCGCAGTATCCGCCCTCATATTCTGAATTTGTCCAACTAGACCACTTATGCTCTGGCGCATATGTTTGACTCCTTGGATCCGAAGGTGCGGGCTTTGCTTTACCGAATGGAACGCTGTCAGAGCAAAGATAGCATGGCGAAGTGCAGGCGCGTCTTTTGCTAACGGCCAAATGAGTGTTCGCCACGGATTCTCTAATGAACCATCTTTGATAGATAAAATCCCACATGTGAGTTTATCAAACCGCATCACGAGCATTTCCGGACTTTCCGGGGGTAGAGATGGGTTGTCTGACATGCTTGGGGGGTCAATATGGAAAGAATCTCCCTCGGTTAGGGCGAAATTCCAAGGTCCCAGTGTTGGATCTGATTTCCGGATGATCTCCTCAATGTCATCGTTTTCATCCTCCAATAGCTGAGAGAAGCTCAGCCTAGATGCATCGGTATCTGGCTTTTCTGGAACCAACGGCAAATGTCTAGCAGTATCGGTATCGACATCAGAGCCCAAGGGGTTTGCAAGCGACAGAGAATCCTGAAAAGGATCCAAGAAGGAGAGAAAATTGAAAGGGGGAGAGTCGGCGGACAATGAAACATTGATATCAAGGGGAGGTTCATTGCACTCCACCATGGAAGCATCTTCCCGTGTGACGGGTAGATCTTCAAGAGAACGGGCTTCCGTGGAAGGAAAGCTATTTATACTAAGGGGCGAGCTATGCAAAGGAGAGCCTGGAGGCGAACGAGAGCCACCAAATTTGTGGGACTGTATGCGAATCGGCGATGCCGATTGTTCAGTCGTCGGAGGAGTCGGAAAGGACTGGCCAATATTGGCGACAGAGGAAGCCTGATGGGATGAAGAGTTTGCTAAAAAGGATTCGTGAGTATACCAGGCCTAACTCACACGACCCGTGACTTACCCTTTTTGGCTTTGGGTACGGTAGGCCGCCCAGAGGCCATGTTGATCTCTTCGAACGGTCGCCATTTGAAGTCTTTCTTGTATCCTCCACATTGGACCTTTCGTCTTTCGCACTGGTGACAAGATGGCTTGACTTCGTCGCACTTCAACCGCTTTGCCTTACAGGTGATGCAACCTATAAAAGTGGAGACTGGAGTCAATGTTGTGATCAATGTGATGAAGTAACCTACGTTGTTCTTGCCTCGCTGACATGAAGACGTAGGCTCACTGTATTCTTACTTACCATTCCGACTCTTTGTTTGTTTTGGCTTTTGTGGCCCAAGATTTCCCCGCGCTGATGCCGGGTTGTCGGGCGGGTCTAAAATCGGTGGGAATTTAATGCTTTCCATACCAAGTCGATGTTGAACCCATTCAAACGGAAGAAAACGAGATATACAGAAATAACTAGGGAGATGAAGACAGAAAGATAAGAGGCGCTGACAGCGAATGGTAAGTGGAAGATAGGGAATCCCACGGAGAGGAGATGATAAGCCATGCGGGGGTGCCGATCTTGGAGAATCCCAGATGCGTTTTCCATTTCAATCTCAACCGGCTCGGCCATCGCGGATATCTGATTGGATTCTACGCTGTGCCGAGTTGATAGGAGCTCGCGTGTCATTCCAACCCGAGTCCACGGGTATCTGTGGATATATCTCTGTGGATGTGGATATCAATCACTATAAACAATACACAATACCTAACAACATCGTGCGGGGATCATTTCTCCAACACCATTAGGACTACGGATATCATCGGCTACGGCAAAAAATATCATCTAGAGAAAACAAAAGTGAAGAGAAATATCTTTCATTAAAACAAAATATATATACAAAACAAACGGTGGCTGACGCCCCAGAAAATCAGGGCACAGACACACACAGTCTTCTCAAACGCAACTAGTACCGTTGCCGGTACTTGTTGGTGGCGGGGGCGGCCACGGGGAGGGAGGGCAGCACCACAGGGAGGGAGGGCACCACCAGAGGGACGGAGGAAGGCAGGGTCAGAGCAGGGGGGGCGAAGGCAGCCACGGCCCCAGGCTCTGCGCAGACATCCATGTCCGGGGAGACATCCCGGACCATGGTGTCATTGTAGACACCGGAGACGCGCACAAATTCAACGCCCTCCATGGGCAGCGCACCCTCCAGATCCTCCCGAACAGGCGAAGGGGGATACTCGACATCCCCCATTCGGTCAAGGATGTCATTGTCGTTGCCAGCTGCGAACTGCAGCTGGCCGGCGGGGAGGTAGGAGCTACGGGGCTCGAGGTGAGCCCACAGACAGCGGACGAGGGACTTCCACTCGTCGCTGACCCCCAGGTTTTGGTGGAAGGCCGCAGATGCGGCCAGGGGGCGGCAGTGGAGGAGCCCGAGGAGCTCGGAGGGGTAGGTGGACACCTGGGCTAATCGCGGGTTAGTGTGCGTCTTTCAATGCTTGGAGATAGGTACTTACCAGGGTGTGGCATCCCTGCCCAGTGCAAGCCGAACCACGCAAACTCGGGAGCGAGGACGACACGGAGGAGAAAGGCTTCGGGGGAGCCGGGCCCCACGACAATGACCATGTTGCAAAGGAGCTCGGTCAGCTCCCAGGTCAGGACAGACATTTCGGGCTCCGAGCCCGCGGCAAACAACTGGTCAAACAGGGACATCTCGTCCCACTTCAGAAGAGGACCAGCCAGGTACTTGCCAGCAAGTACCTGGAGGCCACTCTTCGAGAACGGAGGCATGGTGTCCAGCACCATTTTCGAAAAACAAAAAAAAAAAAAAAAAAAAAAAAAAAAAGGGAGAGGGAGGCAGAAGATTGGTAGGTTTGAAGAGGGAAAAGAAAGGACTAGATGAGAGGATTCTGGAGGGTTTATATATGGCTAAGCAGTACTGAGCCCATTGATAGTCGACTTGAATCAAGCTCAACTATTGTTTCTCCAAGCTGAATGTCTCCATCGAGCATAATGTGTATTAAGTTATGCCCCAAGGAATCCGCTCAATAGATCGGTTGTTGAACAATAGACTTGAATAGCCATGTGCTTCAATAGAGCCTTTGAATGGCATTGTTCAATCAATTCACCCGCCAGTGCCTGCTATATCCCATACCTAACCTTGTGATCTGAATCTTATTTGATTATTGAGAGTATGAAATTGACATTGTCAGACGACTTGACTGAAATGAGTAGTATATTGTAGTGTTCATTGTGAATTGTTGTATAATAGGTCCAATACGCTCACATAAAGAAGGATTGAAGTGAAAGGCCATTGAATTGAGACCGAAGTGAAGGCAATGTGAGGTCAAAGTGAGAGTGATGCCAGTTGATATTGATAGATATTAAGCCAGAATACAGGCGAATGCAGTAAGAATGCCTGAAGGCAGGTGGTAAAACTAGAGGCCATACCTAACCAAGAGGCACTCGCAAGGTTACCACGGCTCGTAAAACACACTAATTCCAACCTTCGTTACCACACAGACTTGGGAGCCTCAAAGCCCTAGATGAGAAGATCCTTTACTTATAGACAAGTCAATCTAAAAAGGTGCCAGTCGTCATATATGACAATAGGCACCATTCCAATGAGGTCGTACGTTTTGAGAGCATACTGTCCACAACCAACATTCTGACCGCTGACCGACAATCATGGGATATTCAGACCTAAAAAGACTGTTGGCACTGAAAAAGAAGCAAGGCAAAAAGACTGCACATCGACAAACGAATACTATGTACGAAGTAGCCGTGTCGTAGTCTCCAATGTTGTTAGTCGAGGCCCGAGGTCCCGGTAGTTAACACCGCATGATTAGTCATGTAGCGAATTTCGGACCTTCGGAGTCAAGTGGCGGGGAAACCCCAGATGTTCACGGCCCGAGGTCAAAGAGGAGCCCTTATTTGCTTCTTAGTTCCTTTTCTTTCGGTTCGTCCCTGTTTCAATTCAACAATTATTTTGTTCTTCCATTGTTACTGTCAGTCATGTTCCGTTCGGTAAGACGTCTGCCTCGACGTGTTCCTGTTGTGACTACTATTTCTGCGCGTTCATTGCGACCTTTCACAAGCGGTTATACTCGGATGACGCCTGTGCAGCCCCCCGTATCCACCGTCCTCCCCACAGACGAATACCAGCTGCTGTCCACACAAGAAAAAGCAGGTGCAGCGGAAGACGCCCTTTACGACCAACAGCTTCGTGATGTGGAATCATGGTGGAATTCGCCTCGTTATGAAGGCATCAAGCGCCCTTACACGGCGGCAGATGTTGTGAGCAAGCGCGGCTCCTTGCAACAAACATATCCCAGTTCTTTGATGGCGCGGAAGCTGTTTAATCTTCTCAATGAGCGAGCGGCTGCCGGTCAGCCCGTTCATACCAGTGAGTCCTTGACCGGCTGGGCTCCAATTGTGGCAAATCTGACCTCGTTTTTGTACACAAGTGGGAGCTATTGACCCCGTCCAAATGACACAGCAAGCCCCCAACCAAGAGGTTCTGTACATCTCGGGTTGGGCTTGCTCTTCACTTTTGACAAGTACCAATGAAGTATCACCGGATTTCGGCGATTATCCCTACAATACCGTCCCGAACCAGGTCCAGCGTCTGTTCAAGGCTCAGTCCATGCACGACCGGAAACAGTGGGACGCAAGGCGAAAGATGACCCCAGAAGAGCGAAAGGCCACACCTTACACTGATTATTTCCGACCAATCGTTGCGGATGGTGACACCGGGTACGTTAATACTTGGGATTGAACGCACGAGGTATTACTAACTATCTGGGTGCAGTCATGGTGGCTTATCGGCTGTTCTAAAACTCGCCAAGCTATTTGCAGAGAATGGTGCCGCAGCCGTTCACTTTGAGGATCAATTGCACGGCGGAAAGAAGTGCGGCCATCTTGCAGGCAAAGTGCTCGTCCCAGTGGGTGAACACATCAACCGACTGGTCGCAGCTCGGTTCCAGTGGGATATGATGGGGTGTGAGAACCTGGTCATTGCTCGAACAGATTCCGAGAGCGGCCGACTCATCAGCAGCGCCATCGATGTGCGTGATCATGAATTCATCCTTGGTATTACGGAGGACGTGGAACCTCTGGCCGAGACCCTCCAGGCTATGGAACGAGAGGGCGTCCCGCCCAAAGAAATCGACGCATTCGAACTTGGCTGGATCAAGAGCCATAAGCTTGTTACATTCGACGAAGGTATGTCTATTGATTATGTGTCAAGCGATCCCATTCACTAATAATATGTAGCTGTCGATGCTCATCTTGAATCGGAGGGCGCCCCCCAGTCTTCTCGCGATGTGTACAAGGCGTTTGTTAAGAAGAACCCCGATCTTTCCTTCTCCCGTCGCCGTGCCCTGGCGAACGATTACACCAAAAGGCCTGTTGTGTGGTCATGTGATAGCCCGCGCACTCGTGAGGGATTCTACCACTACGCCGCAGGTTTTCCTGCCGCGACCAAGCGCGCGAAGGAGTTTGCTCCGTATGCAGATCTTCTCTGGGTCGAAACCGGTGACCCAGATGTTGAGAAAGCCGGGAAGCTGGCCGGCGAAGTGCGGGCGGCGTACCCAGGCAAGAAGCTTGTGTACAACCTCAGCCCTTCATTCAACTGGATGGGACAAGGATTTGATGAGGCTTCCCTCAAATCTTTTGTCTGGGATATTGCCAAGCAAGGGTAAGCTCAACATTGCAACTATTTCGCTTCGATCCACTAACTTTT